TGTCAAATGTGAGATATCCAAGGCTGGGACATTGATATACCAAAATACCTTGGGAAGCAAAGGAAAATTTCTCGTTATGATTTTTCTTTTTTGCCCGAGAAGAATGTATTATTCGCATCATAACATGTATATATAATTTCATTATGATCCGTCATAATGTTTATATACTAAGTTATTCCCACCCATCTTTATTATAAAACACTTCCTAAAAGATATGGATGGTTCTCATTATAACTCACTTAATATTGTACTTCTCCAATTCTTAATATAAGATTTAATTGAAGAGTTGATATTGGTCCTATATGTAAAATTTATTTCACATGTTTATCAATTTTTGTTCAAATTAACCCTATTGATATTTCTTCAACAATAATCAAGTAGGAGAGGAAAGAAGGAAATTAAGAAAGATTGCTCAAGGTGTTCTAAAAAAAATATATATCACATTAACTAATTTAACTAACATCCTTAATCTACTCAATTAGTTAATTATGTCTTAAGCAGTATTAATTAATTAAGTTTTTTCAATATCACTCCTATTTAAAATCATTGACAATTATGAAAGAAAATGTGATACAAATATGAGTGAAATTGAAAATTTATGTTATTTTAAACAAAATTAATGACTTAATAATAAGTTTAGATGATATGACGAGTTTTATAATAGACAAAAAGAAGTCCCATTAGAACTGAGGAAAAGCTCTAATGAGCAGGCCGTGCATGCTCTGGAGGAAAGGAGTCAATATTGTCGAAGGTGATGGATGTCATGATAGCATCTCGCAACATTAAAAGTCAAAGCTCTCCCATCAAAATGGCAATGAGAGGAACTGAAGGTTCAAAAATGAGACATCCAACACAAACATTATTATATATGTTCAAACATCTAACTCCTTAATTAGATTTCAGGATCTCTAAAATTAATTAATACTCCCTAAGCTTCTCGGCATAAATTTTAAATATGTCTACTAAAAAACCAGTTAAAATTAACTAAAAGTAATAAATAGACAAAAAAATATACTTTTATTTGCAAACATGCTGTTATAATATATGAGAAAAAATAAAAAATATATTGAGAAACGTAATAAGAAATAAAGTAGTGAAAAAAATAATTGAGAATAAAATTGAAAAAAAAACAAATTAAATGTTGAAAAAAATCCAAACCATATCCCTAAATTTAAAACTTAATAAATAGAGCAGGAGGAAATATAGTCTTTTGTGACATCTTTATGAAATACTTTTAAAAGAAATATATCCGTTCCTTATCTTATCACAGGACATGTGATAAAATATTTATTGTAATTTTTCAAGGACAAAACTTAGGTCCAGTTAATTAGTCCATTAGGTCTAGTTAATCAATTAGGTTTCGCCACATGGATTATTTAACACACCATGGCTTAACCCTGAACTCGGTTAAACCACCGCTAGTTCTGAGAAAAAAATTAGGGGAGCTTCTTTGAGCTGACAATGAGTCTGCAATAAGTTGCCATTGCAATAGCAGATTCTGATAATGTTTTGAGTAGAATAACATTGTTTCAGCAATCAATGTTTAAAACCCAGTCGAATGATGTGTGCCCTATTGATAAATAATAATTTCATGTCTGAAGAGAATTAATCAAATAAAAGATGGATTCCACAGTGACGCAATTGAACATACTGTAGTGTACAGAGTTTTAGATGGCACAAACTTAGACCCCAATTTTAGACCCAATCGAAATGGAGCATTCTCATACAAAAAATCAGAGAAAACATTTGATTTTCAGCATTCAAAAAAATCAAATAACTCGTAAAATTCCTTGACCGCAAGTCGACTTGCAGTCTGGCCGTCCTCTCCTTGCACAGTTGTCCAAACCTCGCACCCTCACTAACGACGGTTTAACGGTGGGGTGGAGTGGAGCGGTGATATGTTAAACTCGTACACGTGGTAAAATCTCATTGGCTAACTAGACCTAATGGACCTAATTAACTGGACCTAAGTTTTGTCCATTTTTAAAGTATGATGCTCTTTTACTCGTTTATTTTTTATTAGTATGACTTCAATTATATTTCATGCCAGTTAAATCAATTATAATGAAGGTGTTTGGTTTTTTATTTTGAAAGAATTCTCAAAAAATATTTTAAAATTTTAAAATTTTGAATCAGTTTGAGATTTTTCTTTTTATCTATTTATTTTTTGTTTGCTGAAAAAGGAGGAATGAGAGGGGAACAGAAAGGGGCAGGTTGTGTAGCGTACGGAGGGAGACCAAAGTGTTGGGAGTGAGGGAATTATGAATGGAGAGAGAGACGGTGACAGTATTATTGGAGAGAGACCCTTCCTTCTCCTTCTCTGTCATATTATCATTTGATCTCTGTTTGTTTGCAACATAAGTCACTCGCAACAGAATTAGAGCCCACTTGATGGCCCCTGCCCCTTCCCCTTCCCTCCCTCTCGCCCTCCCCTCTCGTGCCCCTCACGCGCCTCCTTCCCTCGCTGTTCCTCCCTTGGGTCCACCATTATCCTTTCCGGACCATCCACTCTGCCGGCCCCCACAATCTGTCTTCTTCTGCCTCATCATGTGTTACCCACTTTCTCACTTGTGATTCCACCACTTCTTGTTAAAATCTCGCCTAACTATTATTCCTTCCCATTTGCCAGTCATAATTAATTCGTTAAAAAAACTAATTCTTTCTACTAAATCCAACCCATTAATAATTAAATATTTATTTTAAATTATCAAAAATAATCTTCAAAATGAGTGAAATATCTTGGAATGAAGGTTTTTAATCAACAAATCTTTATAGTACGCGCATGCTTTAGAAGCTCAACCCATCTGTTGGCCAAAAAAAAAAAAACTCAACCCATCTAAATTTTTTTATTTAAAATAAATTATAAGTAATTTAATTGATATACAAGATTTTGTAATTATTTCTTAGAAATAAAGTTGTTATTATTAAGTTTCACAGGAGCTTTAAAAACCTGACAGATTCAGTTTTGAAAATGTTAAAAAAAAATATTTTAAAAACAAAGCTTTCTTTAAAAATTAATGGTAATCCCTTAAAATATGACAATACCCTTCACTTTTAAAATTATAAACTTGTTTTTCTTGAAGTTTCGTGAACTCCTTGGATTTCCTGTGTAGGGTAGGCTCCCAAGTGACTTTTCGAGCAAATGAGTAATAATCCTTGCTAATGAATGGCTCTCCTAACACCAAAAACTAGAGATTCCATCAGTTTTTAATATAAAATCTATTTAACTAATTTGATTAGATTAAAAAAATTAGGTAAGTTAATTAATTATAAAAAATATGACATATTTTTTCTAAAATACCATAATTATCTTTCTTAATATCCTCCCTCTCTCATTTATTTGATTATTATTGAGGAAGTATATACAGGGATAATTTTAAAAAAATTGATAAATATAAAAAATAGGTCTTATATTTAATACCAAAATTAATTTAATAATTAAGTTTTATATTAAGAATAGGAAGAGTATGTAATATTATTAATACAGTGACTAAGATAAAAGCTTAGAAATCCCCCTCTAAGTTGAGCCTTGGCTCTGAGTTCTATTATTAATACAGTGACTAAGATAAAAAGCTTAGAAATCCCCCTCTAAGTTGAGCCTTGGCTCTGAGTTCTATAGAGCAGATTAAAATTCAAAACCTACAGCATTCCGAAAAGCATATTATCTTTACCATCTCTTTCAAACAACCACGAAAACATATAATATATAGAAGAATTTTGTAATTCATTGTTTATAAACAGTAAACTTATTTATAAAATGTCAAAATTGTTTGGCTCAAGTGATACTTAGCACATTGTTGAATTTTACTTAAGTATTAGGCTGCGTATTTATCCCTTCATAAATGTGATGGGTGCCTGAGTTTCTTCTTTTGGGTTGGATGAAAAATACGACCAAAAAAAAAACTGATTTATAAAGAAAGCAATCCACCGTTTTGCTTTGGCTAAAAGCATTATTATAAATGCCGAAAATTAAAAGAAAGAAAATTGAAGGAAACAATTTTCGTAGCTAGATTCTAGAAAGTGGTCGATGGAGTAAAAGTTTTCAAGTTACTCCTCCGGTCCTTATTATAAGACCCAATTTGACTTTTTATTTGGTCCTAATTATAAGACCCAATCCATTTTGTCTCTTATATTTATGCATTTTTTTCCAAGATAATCCTTCTAATAATGATAGTTTTAGCCAATATACTTAATTAGCAAGAATATTTTAGGAATGACAACACTTATTTATTATAAATAACCAACTTAACTTACTTCTTTAATCTCCTCAAATAAGTCAATTGGGTCTTATAATTAGGACCAGAGGAGTATTAAATATACTTTATGAGTGAAATTATTCCATAGAAACAAGCTTGAAATCGAAGCGAAAATGACTTCGATCGATAGGGTTGGTCCATGCACGGTCCATGCGGGTATAGAAAAAACCAAGAAGAAGAAGATGAAGGCATCAAGAATGAATAATAAATAAATACATATATAACAGAAATAAAATGTATTATTCGACCTAAGTAGAAAAACAACTAAAAGCGTAAATCAGAAACATGCTTTCCTAATTGAGCAGGCAATCACCACGCATGCATATACATATATATCTCTCTCGCCTAGTCGCCTGTGTCTTTTTACTTTTCCCAAAGCAAAATCACAGCGAGTTTACATCTCTTTCCCATTCTCATAATTTCATTATGGGTTAATACAAATTTTGGTCCCTCAGATTTAAGCCCAATTTGGTTTTAGTCCCTGAAATTTAAAACGTGTGGTATTGGTCCCTCAAATTATATCCGTTTATGTCCGTTGGTCCCTAACTTCTTGGCATCGTTAAATCCTGCTGATATGGAATTAACACCGTTATGTGCTGAGTTGGACCACATGACCTGGTAATGAACCGCTGAGTTGGCATCCTGGTGTCATGTTAGCTAGAGATGGACCGAAAAAAGAAAAAAAAAAGGGGAATCAGAGGCAAAACGCAGGGGACAACAGTGGAAGAAAAAACAAAGGGGAAAGAGTTTAGATAGAATCTGGACGAGTGGAGAAAGGAAACCAAGATCCGGTGAAGGCGAAGGCAACAAAGATCCGTGAAGGCGACAAAGAGTCAGCAAACGCGACCTAGATCCGCTGAAGGCGACGAACATTCGGCAAACGCAGGTAAGGATGACTGGTGTTTGGTAGGTTGTTGATATGGGTTTTCAATTTTTGCAATATCATATCTCTCCATCTCGTCTTCAACATCTGATTCAACTTAGGTTGTAGTCAGGTGGAATGGGGTCAAGCAGGAACTCATCATCGTCGACTGTGGCTAGAAGGATGGGAAAAAGAAGACCATTTCTCAAGAATATATTCAAGAATATATTCGAGAATAAATAACAATATATTTATCGATAAGCTGTTTGATAAATGAACTTATCGATAAACTACTCGAATATATTCTTAAATATATTCTTGAATATATATATTAGAGAAATGGTCTTCTCGAATATGTATTTGAGAACTGGTCTTCTTGAATACATATTCGAGAACTGATCTTTGGTCTTCTCGAATATGTATTTGAGAACTGGTCTTCTTCAATACATATTCGAGAACTGATCTTTGGTCTTCTCTCAAGAATTATTCACGTGGTGAAGCAATTACTGATCCAACAATTATATAACAAGGGTGGTAATTTTGATGGCAATAATGTTAATTGAAATAATAGAATAGAAGAACATATGAATTAAATAAGATGTAAAGGTAACCTAATTAATAATGAGGAACTGAAGATGTAACATAAGATAATAACCTTAATTAATTATAATGGACATTTGTACATGCCACTAATGTTGCGAAAAGAGTTACATCACATAGGACTTGCAAAATAAGAAGGCATCCATCTGAAAGACTAAGCATTGGTTCACCAAAATATAGACCTAGGAAGTGATAATCCCATGTAAAAGGCAATAAGGTAACTATAATCCAAGTAACGAAATACATAGTACAAAATAGTCAAATACATAGTCTTAAATGATTTGTCGACTGTTGGGAGGGTAAAGTAGAATTGGGTGGTTGCTATGAAGGTGGAGGGGGTGGTTGCTGTGTATATGCTTCCCATTGCAATTTTTAATGTCAAGGTTGACTGCTACCCGGAGGAGTTGCAACAATTGACTCTTGAGTAGAAGATGATTGCTTTCTCTTGATTGGAAGCTTGTTAGGTCTGGTGGGTTGCTTGCAAGTCTGCCGATTGTGTCCTTGTTTTCCACAATTAGAGCATAAGAAGGTGCGATATTATCGCTTCTCATGTTCTGTCTCAGCTGATTGTTGTTCGTCCAATCCTTTCTTTCGTTTTTTTGTTGGCCTCCCAGGACGCTTGTGATATACGGGAGGTTCAATGGGCTCACCATCAGCTTTCTCCCACAATGCTTCACCATTGATTGGCTCAATAACAGGTGAGTAACACGCAACAAATGATTGCAATGTTAAATACTTGTCCACATAATCATGTGGATCCTCCCTCTTGGCATAAATACAAGCAGCTGCATGTCTGTAACATAATTAATGCTTAGAATTCAAGCAATAGAGGGAAAAAAACAGATTTATTGTGAAATATAGATAGCAAGCATATATAATTTTACCTGCACGGGATTCCATTTAGTTGCCACCAATAACAACTGCAAGTTTTGGCGGTGAGATCAACCTTGAACTTGTGAGTATTGAATGACACTTCATACCGGTTGTTTCCCGCATATCTAGCCTCCCATTTTCGACATTCTGCAACTTCTTTGTCCAATCGCTTGCGAGGTCGCAGACACACAATACCCTTGTCACGGTACTTATCGGCTTTGACACGATTTTCTGCAAACCGAGTCATGAGATATGTCCGGATCCAATCAAGCAAACTAATAATTGGAAGTTCTCGTGCCTCCAGTAATCTTCCATTGAAAGACTCCGTGATATTGTTTGTGATCGTATCGCATTTACTGTATGCATCAAAATGAGACCTGCTCCAACAACTTGGAGGGATTGCCATCAAATGATCATGAGCTCCACTATAAATAGCCTTCAACTCATTCATACGGTCTCTCCAATTAGATTGCACGGTTGCCTTTGCAGCATGGAGAACTAAGTCACGAATAAGAGTGCCTCCTCCATATTTGACCTTGATATTAGAATACAAATGGCGCACACAGAATCTGTGTTCCGCACCTTCTAATAATTCTTCAAATGTTGGCACAAGACCCTGCGCAACACAAGCCACAACTATGAATCTGCACAACACAAACCGTAAGTATATTCCACACCTTCTATGAAAATGACAGCTTCATACTAAACCAGTCCGGATCCAAAAAAATTTGAATATGAATGTGAACCCTTTTTACCACGTGTGAGTGACAGCTAGATACTAACCTTGATGACCTAATATATTTGAATCTGAATGTGAACCCCTCTTGCCACGTGTTGGGAAAGAAAAATAAAAAAAAGGGTGATGAACGACTGAAAGCATGCTCGGTCAAAATATCAAAAGCTAATGGAAAGATACAAATAATACAAAAAAAAACTTACTTTTTGTTGGTCTGATATAAATACCCATCTCCTTTCCTGCATACTCCCAATGTCATCGAACAGATTTTTCAAAAACCATGTCCATGAGTCTCTACTTTCTGACTCAACCACGGCCCATGCTAATGGAAAGTACTGGTCATTAGCATCACGTCCCACAGCCACAAGTAATATCCCTCCATATGGACCCTTTAAGAAACACCCATCTAACCCAATGATCAGTCTACAACCCGCTACAAAACCTCGCTTCACAGCACCTATGCACTCATATAATCTCTTGAAAACAGGAGGATGATTTACGCAAGGCTGATCAGTAAGTAATGCAAATGTTGTTCCTAAGTTACATTTCCTCACTTCATTACAATAATCTCTTAATTTATGATATTGCTCCTTATAGTCACCATCAATCAAAGCCTTAGCCTTTTTTCTAGCCATGTAGGCCTTCCACACAGAAACATCAACCATGTAGTGTTCTCTCACTGACGCAATTATATCTGCCAACTTGATGTTTTTGTTTCTCTTCATGATGTGAACTATCTTTTCTGCAATCCACTTGTAGCTAGCATTCTTCCCTTTTAAGGATACCCCACATGTATGTTTTGAGTGTAATGTCTTCAACCGATATGTTAACTCACCTCTCACTTGGCTCACAAACATTAACCACTTGCATTCAACATGTGCACATTTGACCCTACACCTCACCTTATCATTCTTCACAAATTTGATTTCATATCCATGGAGTAAGGCATACTCTCTAACTGCATCTTTAAACTGACCAATGGAAGTAAACTCCATACCTAATACAAATTTAAACTCTTTACACATCTCTACCGGATTATATCTTACTCTGTTAACGTTGCCTTCTCCTTCATCGTCTTCTTCACTTGATCTTGCACTTTCATCAATTCCCTCTGACTCATGATCAGATAACAAGCCCAATATATCTTCCTCCCTTGCCTCAACAACATTATTTTGTCCTCTACCATCAGGTTCGGCTCTCCAAAATTCTGAACTCTCTACAACTTCTTCTAACACATCATTTACTCCCACATCTACATATTCTGAAAAATCATCATCATCAATTTCCTCCTCTTCACTGTTCTCAAAGTCTGAGAACACAGACCCTGAGTTTGTTTCGCTCCCTTCCTCCCCACCAGTATCACATCTATCACTTTTCCCTTCCTCCCTATCCATATTTAACCTGTCATGGCAAAATAGTAAACTAAACCACGACAAGATGAAACAAAACATTACATAACATCAGTCAACATGATATCAAAATTAATTTAACAATAAACAGAGCACAATGTAAGCAATGCATGAACCACACCCATTGTTCGGCAACAACATTGTACCCACAGACCATATCATCGAAATGAACAGCAACATAAACAAATTATACATGATTGTGCTCTGGTTTTGTTTAACACTGCCCACAGACACTTATCAAAATAGAGCACCAATGGGTTCAACTAACACAAATCAAAACAGAGCACCCATAGACACTGACCACAGATTGCATGATGAACAAGATGGGACTTTGAGTTAGTTGAACTCAAATGCACAATGCAACTTCAATGTCAACACTATTTCAAACAGATTGCAAGATGAACAGGACGGGATTTTCAATCAATATATTTAAAGGTTCATATTTGTAGCACTTACCCTTTGACAACAGCGATGCGAACACAATGGTAATCAACAATGTCTTCCTTGCCTTTCAATGGACAAAAGCAAATGAATATCAGTTATAAACCTTCTTACCACGACGGCCGCCGGTAAAAGCACTTTTCCGGTGACGCCCACGTCAGTAATCGCCGACGACGAGTGGGTCCTCTTGACCTAGCACTTTCCCCTTTTTTTTTCCTCCACAAACTGTGTTTGTCGTTATGTTTGTCGGCCCCTGCGTTTTGCCTCTGATTCCCCCTTTTTTTTTCTTTTTTCGGTCCATCTCTAGCTAACATGACACCAGGATGCCAGCTCAGCGGTTCATTACCAGGTCATGTGGTCCAACTCAGCACATAATGGTGTTAATTCCATATCAGCAGGATTTAACGGTGCCAAGAAGCCAGGGACCAACGGACATAAGCGGACATAATTTGAGGGACCAATACCACACGTTTTAAATTTCAGGGACTAAAACCAAATTGGGCTTAAATTTGAGGGACCAAAATTTGTATTAACCCTTTCATTATTCTTCCAAATGCTTCAGAATAGTATCACCCAACAAGGAGATCTTCATGGGTTACGTATATTCTTCAGGAAATATCTTTCTCATTTGTTAAGTATGTTAGTTATTTATAATAAATATATCTTGATTTTTTTAAACTATTATTTTTAATTATGTACATTAGAACTACTCTCTATTTGGGAATCTCTTAACATAAGCAATTAACAAAGAAATTGTGGGCAAAAATTATAAATTTGAAAAGCGAAATGAATTTAAATATTATATTTAAGATCAAAATAAATATATTATCTAAATCAAAATAAACATATTATCTAACTCTTATATTTATGAGCAAAAGTAGTAATGTTAATATTCAACGAAAGTCCTGCCACATAGGCACGGAATGAAAGCTAGTACCATTTAACTTTCAAATTATGGAAAGCCGTGCTAGTTATAAATCATAAATAACAGGAGAAATTAATTTATAAGTTTTTATAATTTCATAGAATTTCTAATTAAAGTTCTTGTGGCTTTTCTTTTAATGATATTGGGCTGTTACAGTTTCTTCAATTACAGGCATCAATCTCTATTCTTGTAATATATTAATTAAAACTGATGTGAATGCTGATTAAATGAGATGTAATAAATTGCTATAAAAGTACAAAATGAAAAAGAGGTTTTTTTAAAAATAAAATGATTAAAAAACTTACGTGTCATTAACACAAAAATACAAAATTATGCTAATAAAAAGTTACGGTAGTTAGATCATAATACTGCTTAATTATCATAATGCAGTTTCATTAATGCGTTTAGTAATTAATAAAAGCAAACCGACCACTCTGCAATGAAAGGAACCAGAAACTATAGACAGCGAAGTTCTGAGTCAGACGAAGATGCTAATGACATCAAACTTACATGTACAAACTAATCTTCATGCAGTAAGCTGCATATGTATTTGATATGATTTAATTTAATAGTATTTTCTTTATGATTAGCAGTTGACGTTTTTTTCTGTAATGTAATATCAAAGTGCAATTATAAAACTTGGGTCAATGGTGAACAATTTAAATTATTGACTTATTTTATAATTTCAAGTCTTTGTTAGGTCATTGATGACCCAATCGCATCATACCAAATAAGGAAAAAAAAAAACAGAGAGATTTGAAGATTTTAATTATTATTTTGACACTAATTTTCAGAGAGTGTCAAGTTGGAGTTTTGTAGTTCTTAGATGTTAGTTATTAGTTGAATATTGCATCTACAATTATTCCTTAAAAAAATAATTACCAGCATATATATAATAATCAATATTTGACATGTGGCGAGTCAATTTCCCCCTTCTTCAAGACAGGTGGCCTAATTACCACCATTTTTTTTAATAATTATTGAAAATCATGCTAATCAGTTGTATCTATACTAGCAATTGTTACTTTAAAATTTTAAGAATATTTTTGTTAAAATGCATTTTCCAAAGTCTGATCTCAATAAAAAATTTGAAGAGAAACAATGAGCATTTTTATAAATCGTAATAAATTCATTCTTGAAATTATTGTATTAATACAATCATGATGTCATGTTGTTATGATCAAATAATTTTAGCATCACACAATCAATTGTTCAATTATCCAATTAATTATACATTAAATAATTATTTATGAATGATTCCTAACTTTTGCGTATGGAGCAAAACTAATCAGGAGGGTCTGCATTTCGGCCTCAAAATTTTGAATAAGATTAGTCATCATGCAAGTGAAGGATATTCCTAGTTGAAATTTTTTTTTAAAAAATCTGACCAAGAGTTTATAATATTTTTGTTTAAAAAAAGTACTACCTCTAGTCCAAATTATAAGATCTCATTTATAAATTATAAACAAGGTCTTATAATTAGGATCGGAGATAGTATGATGGATATTTTTTTTGCCAGCAAAAAAATATAAAAAGGTATGGTTGGTTATACTGTATAGAACAATAGTAGATATACAAATTGGCATCCATGTCGTCTTTCATAGAGGAAGTCATGGGTTCTATACAAAGTGCTCTGCACTGGAGAAACCACATTACTTTTAATTTAGTTAATTATTTAATTTCTTATGTATATTTTCGTTGTTTATACATTTAGGATTGGGATCCAGTCTCCACTGAGGGATATTAACCATTAAATTATGATTTGATGTTGAGTTGAGAGTTACAAACCTATTTAAAAAAACAAAAAACAAAAAACAAAAGTCTTTATCTCAACATAATTAGATTACAGTTTAATGGATAATAACCCTTAAGTGAGACCCAATTACAATGGCTGATCCCATTATTATTATTATTATTATTATTATTTTCCTGATGAGACCGGATCCCATTATTTAGAGTACATCATCTTTTGTTCCTTTGGATGTTTAGATAATAGAGTGTGAAACAAGACATAATTTTTTATAAAACAAAAATTCATAGTCGTTGTGGTTTATCAGTACATCTTCAATATTTTATCTTCTAGTATTTTTTTGGGGTGAAAACTATTTTTATTTTATATTAATTAATATAATGATCAGCTTGAAATATTTAGACATAAAAGCAGTTTTGGGCTGCCCAGAGCAAAGGCCCATATAAGCGATGTATTCTTCGTTGGGCTTCATCATGCAAAGCTTGACTCCTCCTCCTAGAAAAACAAAAAACGAGTCTTAATGTAGCCCCAAAAAAAGTCTTAATTTCAGAAGAGCAAGGTCATTCGACACCCTAAAATAATTTTGTTTGGAGAGAGCCTTGTGGCCAGTATGAAAACCCCTTCAGAAAGTCTAAAGTCTACGGTGCGAGGGGATCAGTGCTACCGGCAATAGATACTTTAAGCCAAAAAAAAACTCAAAAAATATTTTTTCAGGTGTTGATGAATGAAGCTGCAAGGCTAAATGTGCCAGTTGATTCATGGTCAGGTGGGGAGTTTAAGAACGTCGTGGATTTGCTATTGATTTTCAGAGCCTCATAGGGCTGACTTGAAAAACACATCAGGACTTTTTTAACACTGTTAGCAATATCTATTGCCATGTGAGATCAGTTTATTAAATAAGAAAAAATAGGGATTAATTGAGACACTGGGTTTTACCTAAATTAAAAGTTCAGATAATAAGTTGCACCAAGTTATAGTGGAGAGATTGTGTCATAACCAAATTAAGAAATTAAAGCAGCAAAAGATTAATTTTTCATAACAATAACAACAACAAAACAACCATGCACCGTCAAAATAATAGTTATTATTATCTTTGGCATCAGCTTTTAAATTTCCGTGATTTGAGATGATGGGCATTAAAGTTGTTGATTACTCTTCACTTCTTCCCATTGCATCAACATTTTCATCCTATTATGTTAGCTAAACAACATATATATATATATATATATTATTCAAACAATCCAGATTATATACATATATATATGTAATACTCGAAAGAGTTACAGCGGAAGACTTATAAATACCTCTCGCCATTAGCTCAGTTAATTTGATGTAGAACTCGATCTGAATAATAACAAGCAGTGGATTGAAGAACACAGTTAGAGAAAGAAAGAATGCAGGGAATCTTCCAGCTGGTGATTGGGCACAGTGATGGCGACTGGGATGTAGCCGTCACCAGTGGGGAACCCTCAGAGAGTGAGCAGAGAGATTAGGGTTTCGCTCCTGACTCAGTGTACCGTATATTATTTTCACCGTCAGAAACTAACTTTAATTAACTGAGTCAATTACTCATCTTGGACTGGGTCTAAGATGACTACGGGCCACACTCAAAAATATTTATTAATTATCCTAATAATATCTAAATAGTTATATATCAATAATAAATATCTCACATTCTCCCACTTGGCTCGTATACTCAATGTCATTGCCCAGTCAAGATTAACTAAGGACATACTACAAGAATCACGGCGATAAGTCCTCTTTTATCGAGTATTACCTTCCATGTATTACAAGCAGCATCCTTACTTAATGGGTATCACCTTATGAATAAACTCAATGTTTATTCGGTTCCTGTCTCAATGTTTATCAATTTCAATATCACAAATGTATACAATCTTAAACAAGAAATGATAAACCATAAATTTGATTTCATTGCTTATACCTCAACTAGTCAAATGAAGGACGAAGTCCCATGTGAGGTACATGTGAAACAAAAACATTTGGTTTCAACCCTTTTGTCAAAGGATCAGCTAGCATATCATTTGTTTCAACCGAAACTTGGCCATCCTGAACTCTTTCTCTTAGGCATAGGAATTTAAGTTCGACAAATTTGCTTCGACTTTTATTCCTTTTGTTATTTGCTATAGCCACCGCAGCCGCGTTATCACAGTACATTCTTATTGGCCTACAGATTGAGTCCACAATCTTGAGCCCAACAATGAAATTCTTTATCCAGATTGCTTGTGAACTTGCCTCAAAACACGCAATGTACTCAGCATCACCAGTAGAAGGAGCTGTTAGCGTTTGCTTTACTTTTCCATGATATAGCTCCTCCTACTAATAGGAAGATGTAACCGGTTGTAGATTTATTTGTATCTACACA